AAAATGGCTTGTTTCCAAGAGGCCTTGAATTTATTGAATAAAAGAAATGGGATGAATGCAACTGAGAAAGAGGTAAGGATCGAACCCTTCTACCTCTGGTAACTAGAGAAATTGCTGAAAGGCTGCCCTGCTGGACACTTTTTAAAGCACAGAGAAAAATAGGAAGTTCAAGGAGAGAAAAATAATAATTAAAAATCTGCTTGGTTTCAAAAAACAACGATTCTATCTACAAGATAAGTGTTATAGTCATTCTGCTATTCTGAGCATTCACATGAAAGAAGCTTTCAAAGGTATCTGAGGCCATAGTAATCACTGACTTTGCCTCTGGGATGTAGCCAGTGAACTGCTGGGTTAGCCTGCAGCAAACTGTACCGCTCAGTCCCAGACAGGAACATGAGGTGACATAACATGGGAAATTATACTTTAGCAGAATAACACCCTGTGAGAGCACTTTGATGGTGGTGTGATCAGTTTGTGCCTTTCAGAAATGATTGTCAGCCTATTCTAGTGACAGGGCAGCTGGGCAGTGTGGACAAACCCTGCTGTATAGGGACTTTCCTGACGTGTCTATCAGTGAAGTTCAAGATGGATTGGATGAATGTGTGGTGACGAAGCAGAATAGGTTTATGTGTTCTGGCTCTGTAATGGATCACGCAGGAAAAAGTGGTTATTTGCTGCTGTAGGATTAACATAAAATTGTTTAAAATATAGGCTGGGTAGAAGATAAATCCAGGTTATGTGATCAAGGTAGAATTTTGGGGTTACCAGAACATTTTGGTGCTAATTTAAACTGCAAGTGGGAAAAATTCCTATATCTCTTTTTTCCTGTATGATGTCTTTTGTACTGATATGAATGAAGATCTATACTTAAAAATAGAACTGGCTTTGTGCAAAAGAGAAACATAAGAGCACCGCACAAGATGCTTGTAAGAGAAATGCTTCATTAAGGGTCTATTTTTGGTCCTCATCACAGTCATTGTCAGAGAAGAGGCACACTGGAGAGCATATATATATTTCTAAATTCTGATTGGCTTTCTCTTGTACTTCATTTACTGACAATTAATTAAGGCTGGAAAAGTCACATTGATGATAATGAAAGAGGTCTTCTTCAGATGTATTCTTCTTTTCAGAGGTTGTAAGGAATTTTACGGTCCGTGATTGCAGCAGTGCGGTGCAGTATTACTCATTCTCTGCTACTATGCTATGATCCCTGCACATGTGGTACTTCTTTCTTATAATCTCTAGGTTTTGGAGACTACCAGTTTTGAATTTGTGTTCTAATCTGGATATGGTGCTGTTTCTTAAAGTTGTTTGTTTATTAAACTGAATTTTTCATGGACTATTGAGGCATCTTAATAGCTAATTCGACTACATAGGTTTTAGAGATTGATTGATCCAGTTCTGATATTTACTTCTCCCAGTAGTATAGTGAATATTTAGACATCATAGTCCTGGAAAGTTTTTCAGAGAAGGAGCCATGGCATTATCTATTGGGGTGTCAGAGTAACTGGGATTTAAATGAGGCTTTCAGTGTTGATTATTATTTGTCACAGAGAAGCCTAAAAACAATTCAAGGAAAGTAATCAAGAACAGGAAACATCTTTTGTTTTTGATGGGATTCCTACTTCACAGTAGCAGTTTAAATATAAAATTTTTGTTGCAATATAGTTTTAATGTTTAATTAAAAACTAAACGCTGCATTTTAATTGACTAAAGATCTTGGACTCCACTGAATTCCATGAGGCTTAATCTCAAGTAATTCTCAATCTCAGTCAGGTACATCTCAAGCACAGGATATGAAATTAATAAACAGAGGAATATTCTATAATATGTGCTGTTGAACTGTGAGACTCTGTTTATATAATGAACATACATTTCTGATAATCTGCTGCACTTCCAAATTTACTACTCAGTATTACTTGTCCATTTAGCCAGTATGAATAACATTTAGAACTCAATTCCTCCTATATTTGTGTGTTTCATTTTTAATAGATATGTGCAGCTTCATTATGGGGGATGTGTGATAAATGTATTACTATATTTGCATTTAACTTTAGGCTTTATACACATAATAGGAAATGGGAGGGAGGATCATAATAAATAACTGCACAAGCCTGGTACTTTCAACCTCTACCAGAATTTGGGGTGTATGCGTTCCTCCAGGGGGGAAAATATCAGCCCTACAGGATAGTCCAGAAGTAAACCAAACCATGAGTACTAATACTGCCTTTAGCACTTCCCCCCTTCCCTGCCTTTACTTTACAGAGAACTAGGGAGAGTCCCTTCTGAGGCACTTACTCCTTCCCCATTCCTCCTTTGGACTCAGATCTCGTTTATCAGACCATTGTCTATTTTGTGTCATTTCCTTCTGTCTCCCAAGGTTATTCTCACAGCCCATTACAGTATGCCACCTACTCTTGAATTTCAGCTGTTCTTGAATAGATTCTGAAATCTGGATGATGGAGAACAGGAAATTACTCTTCCCTAGGAATGTAAATGGCTCCACTTTCCCTCTTTTAACCAGAATTTATAAGCCTAAGCATTTTTGCAGTGTGTAGTGCTAAGGACAACACCTAATATCAAAGTAAGAAAGAATAAAGGAATTATATTTCAAGAAAGGCAATGCAGGCAAACTTTAGAAAATGGGTTAGCTGTTATAAGGCTGAGACCTGTATGCTAAAGGTATCAGTCATTAATCTGAGTAAACAAAGAAATAGAGGGACAGAGAATGGGAGCACTTGGTTGTACCAGGGAGCACAAATATCAATTAAAATAAATAAAAAGTCCATCATGCATCTGTCCCTATTTTCCCTGCCAACTTTACCTTACTAGTTCTAACTCTCTCAGGGCTCTTTGTGCCCGTAATTGAGCTACCAATCAGAAATATTTTCTTAGTGTGCTTGAGCCTCAACATTTCTAATTTTAAACGTGAAAACCATTGCCAAAGGAAATAAAAGTAACAATGCTATGAACGTGTGACAGGTTTCCACTTTCTCACGTGCCAGTAATATTGATCCAGCCATACAGAAGAAAGACTTGGTAGTCCAGGAAAGTCCTGAAAAGGTCCTTATACTACAAATCTTACCATGTAGTGAAGAGAAGAGGCAGGGATGAAAATAAACCAATTGCTTGTCCACTGCTCTTGCTGTATTATTATATTTTTTTGCACCACAGTGAACTATATGATTATAGTGATTTATATATTGAATAAATAAATAGTGAATCTGAACATGCAGTCTTTGTCCTGCTTGCTAGATCTATCATGGAGCTAAACTGGATTTACTTAATGAGTAAATCTGTATAGGCTAACTATGTAGATATAATAAGTACAGGTAGTCCTCAGTTAATGATGGTAATTGCCAACTCCATGGGTAAGCAACATGGTCGTAAAACGTGATGTCATATGACGTTGCGAACTTATGACAGCAGTACCAACAGCAGTACCGGCAGTCCCAATTGCTGCCATTAGATGAATCCCACATGGTCGCAGTGTCCCACAGTCATGTGAACACCATTTGCAACCTCCTTCCAGCTTACCCAGAAACCAGCAGTGAAGGTCACAAATGGTATCCTGTGACTGCAAGATACTGCAATGTCATAACTGCAACCCGGTTGCCAAATTGCAATCATGCGACCATGGGGACGTTGCCATGGCCACAACAATGAGGAACAGTTGTAAGTCCCCTCATTCAGCAATGTTGTAACTTTGAACAGTTGCTGAACTAGTGGTCACTGAATGAGGACTACCTGTATGTCTTCTTTGGATTCCTTCCCCCCTTCTTTTGTATTTCTTTTCCATCTTTGGCTTTCCTTATGACTTTAGCTGCGCACCTCTGGACAGCAGCATGTATATCTGTGCATGTGCATGCACATGACAAAACAGGCAAGATGGAGGATGCAGCAGTCAAATGCACCCACAAAGGAACAGGACTTCCATCACAATGCCACAATTACCAACTTTCCTGTTTTGATCTTTCCCTAGAGATGCTGCTAGTCCTGGAGGACTAAAATGCTTGCAAGCTGTTACCCAACCGTGGATTTTCTCATAAGTAATCATGGTTGTTTTAATTTGTTTATAGAGACAAAAGGACAATCTAAGGTCTCTTTGCAGCTATGTTACATAAAAAGGATACATAGGCAGTTAGGGATTTCTCCATGTGCTCAGAGTAATAAGCAGAATAATTCAAACATGACTTTTTTTAAAAAAAAAGTTACCTTGCAGTTGTAAAAATATATATTTTTACATCCTAATTTTTATCACTGAGCACATTACATTTTGCTTAGAATTGTGAATTTTATCCTCCATTTCTTGCAAAGAGTATATGCCATTGTGTTAGTGTGTTTTGGCCTTTGGGTGAAATACATGTTTCCCTGTGTATTTTTCCTTTGTCTCTTGCTAACTTTTGGTGAACAAAGTGTTTATATTTTCAGAAGACTTTGGTGTACTTCTTACAGAATATAAATTTGGAATACTTTCTTTACTTTAGTATGTGATTGCTAAAACAATGAACTGTATGAAGTAATTGCATTTGAGTGGGTCCATAATTTAATAATGCTGGCATTATGTAGCCAAAAAATGAACCATTTAACCAAAATATTAAGGAGATTAAAAGTAATTTTAAAAATTAACACAATATTGTTACAAAAATGAAAAGTTTAAGAATCCTAAACTGAATTAAATCTATCCTTGGTGAAAATTTCTAGAACAACTTGGTTCTAATAATTGCAATCATTTTTGTGTTCAAAATTTAAAACAACATGCTTCTTTGTAAAAAAACTGTAAGTGTATTCAACATAATTTTATATAAAATATAGCATTTCAGTGATGAGGATGAATATTTGACTTTGATTCCACACTGAAATATATAATGAAATAGGTCTGAAAGTTTTTTGTAGTTGACTAAACAATTATTTTTGACTTTAACCAACTGTAAAGATATATTTCTATGCCTAATTTACTTTTGAACTGGAATAATATTGTTTGTTTTGGTTTATTTCAGGTACTGCAAGAAATATAAAAGCATCTCCAGAGAAAGCTGAACTTTTTTTCCAGAAACTAAGAAATAAACATGAATTTACAATGTTGGTATCACTCAAACAAACTCTCTTAAATTCAGGTGTTATTTTTTCTGTTCACCATTTAGATCACAGGTAGGCATAAAAATATACATTTCTTGAGGTTTATTTATTTATGGTATACTCAAATTGATTGATTTAAAAAAACTATGCAGGATCAAACCTATATCATGCTTAGATGGGAGCCTACTAGAAAAAAGAAGCAGGATTAAGCAAGATTAAGCATTGAAAAAAATACTTTTGGAATAAAGCAGAGGCAAACAATTTCTGTGCTGTTGCCAAGAAAAATGCTTGCCTATGGTTGCACCTAGTTGAGCTCAATTCAAAGAAGTCTTGCCTTCACAACTGAGAACATGCCTAAAATCTGAAAGAGATGATGGAGACAAACTTGGGCAACGATCCAAGTATGTCTGTACAGAAGCAAATTCTACTGAAGCAGATTAGATTTATTTCTAATACATTTATTGAGGACTGTTTAGAGATTAGTTTAAACATGGCATACAACTTTGAAAGTGTGACCATTCTCCAAGGTTAGAGAAATCTATCTGCAATAATATGTAGAAGACTGAGCTAGAAGACCTGAGGGCATTTGAGAAATGTTTCTTTATGATATGGTAAGACACTTCTTATCACGTGCAAAAGAGTTGTTACCAAGGTTGTTAATGTATCTGCTACAGCAGATGAAATAGTCAGTATACAGTGGTACCTTGAGTTACAATTTTACCCTGTTCCGTGACTCTGGTTGCAACTCGATTTGGTTGAAACACGAGGCAAATTTTCCCATAAGGTTCAATGTAATTACCGTTAATCTGTTCTGGTGTGGAGGACAGGGAGGTGGCTATTGCTTGGAGGGAGAGTCAGGGGCGGAAAAATGGCCGTGGACCACGTGCCAGGGGCGGAAAAAAGGCCGCGGACCACATGTCAGGGGTGGAAAAATGGCCGCGTACCACGTGTCAGGGGCGGAAAAATGGCCGTGGACCACGTGGCAGGGGCGGAAAATGGCCTTGTGCCGCGTGTCCCGGG